ATCCCAGCCACGTCCGTCTCGGGCCAGCCCTGCGCTGGGCCTCGGAAGGGTCAGAGATGCGGGAAGCAGCCCTCCTCCTGGGAGCGGGGCCGGTCTGGACCCAGCGAGGCAGCGCCAGCACGCCCCCCTGAAATGTGCTGTCTGTATTGTTCTTGCAGGGACGCTTGCAGCGGGAGGCCCCGGCTGGGGGGAGTGGGCCTTGAAGGTGGGCATTTGGAGACAGCAGGAAGGGCCATTTCCTGGAGCCGGGAGAGCACCCAGGGTCAGGGCAGGGGCCTGGCGTGCTGAGGGGAGGTTGGCTAGGGGGTTGGGCCAGAGCAGGACATCCTTCAGGGAGTCTGGCCCCTCTGCACAGGCCACAGGGAGCCCCTGCAGGGTCCTGAGCGGGTGAGTGGATGAGCAGTGGGTGTTGAGTCAGTCAGAGGGGGAGGGACCCGGGTGTGGGCACAGGACGGGGTTGGAGACAGGTCAGCACCTCACTGCACGGTGCGCCCAGCTCTTCTGTCTTATGAGGGATGTTGGTGGTTTGTATCTCCCCCTGGCGTTTCCCCTCTGCTCTTTGCCCCCACCCCCTGTGGCCTCTCCAGCCTTAGTCTGAAAGCCCTGCCCTGTGCCTCGCCCCACACCTCGCTCCTCTCCCTGCCCACGTGAGCCGTGCTCCCGTCAGAACCGGAGAACGGGGGATGCCACGTGCTCCTTGGCTCCTGGGATGTCCTGGAGATGGTCTCCTCGGGTAGAAACCAAGCTCCCAGCGGGAGCCTCACCACCCTCGGTTTTCTTGGTGGGGAGCAAACTCGCCCCCACTGTGTGTCCTCACCGTCCGGGCTTGATGCCACTGGACTGAGGGAGACGAGGGGCACGCAGGTAGCTTCCTGTGCACTGGGTGGTGCTACTGTGGAAGGCCTCGGTTCTCTGCAGAAAACTGGCCCTGGCCGGGGCCTTGGACATGGGACGTTCTCGTGATAAGCTCAGAGGAGCTGAGGAGGAAACCAGGGCTGGGAGTTCCCCTGATACCTCATTCGTAACTGCCAAAAGCCCAGCGAGTTTCCGCCCAAGTTCCACTTTGGGGGAAAGGAGAAGTTGACTCAGCGGTGTCTCCCTGAGGTTATGTTCGCAGGACCCTTATCTGGGAGCCTGGAGTCCTCTGACTGCTCTCAGGGCAGGGAGCGGCGGGCTCTTCCCTCATCCTCTCCATCCCCACGGACCCTCAGTCAGTCACTGCTGTCTGCTCCCTGGTCAGAGCAGGAGGTGGACGGAAGACAGAGAGATCCCTGTGATCCAGGAGATCGACTGAGATCTTCCCGTGTTGCTGCAGCCCACGTAGTAGACGTCTGTCCTCAGAGGGTTCAGTCCAGGGGCCTGTGGGTACCAGGAGGAAGGAGGGGTGGGTGAGCTGGACTCACTGTACTGCCTGGGTTACTCCGAGACTGGAGTGCCTCCCGGCCTTACCCCCTGAGGGATGGTTCGAGGACGGCGTTTATACTTCGCATGCGTGTCTACTCGCATGCGTGTCTACGTGGCCTTGCGTGCGAGCTGCACACGGTGGCAGTTAAGACACGGCTGCAAATCCTCGGACACTCTTATCAGGAAAGGTTTCCAGGCTCCCATTGCCTGACTCTGGGCAGGCGTGCAACTGCCTCTGCCCACAGACGGGCAGAACGTGCTGTGAGTGCTCAGCTGGGGTAGAAAAGGCCGTGCAGGCCCTGGCCGGGCACCTCAGATGATCAGAGCACGGCCCCATGTGCCAAGTTTGCAGGTCTGATCCCCAGTCAGGGCACATACAAGAACCAACTACTGAGCCTGGCCGGTGTGGTTCAGTGGATGGAGCGTCCTCCCGTGGCCTGAGGGGTCCCAGTTCGATTCCCAGCCAGGGCACATGCCCAGGCTGCAGGCTTGATCCCCAGTGGGCAGTGTGCAGGAGGCAGCCGGTCGATGTTTCTCGCTCTCCCTCCCTCCCTCCCTCTCTCTAAAATCAATAACATATCCTCAAGTGAAGATTTAAAAAAAGAAAAAAAGGGCCATTCAGCTTCTCCTTCGTCCCTGGAACACTTGCTCTTGGGACGGGGAGCCACCGTGGGAGCAGGTGTGGCCAGTGCGAGGTGGCTGTGCCAGAGACCACCCGGGAAGATCCAGAACCCTGCCGATCCCCGCTGTGCCAGCCCAGCCGTTTGAGTCCTTCCAGCTGCACCCCAGACATTGTGGAGCAGAGACAAGCCGGCCCATGGGGGCCAGCCCACATCCCAGGAGGGTCCCCACGTGCAAGCTGTCCCGCAGCACCTGCCTTGGACTACCTGTGAAAGGCATGGCTTCCCCTGGACCGAGCAGTCGTTGGGGGCAGAAACGTCAGCCTCCCACGACGCATAGTGCCTGGCGCTCAGCTGCAGCCTCGTGTGTGCCTACGGAATAGCCCAATATACATAATAGTTTCCAGAACCCACCCGTTCTGCTTGGCTCCTTCAGAGTGACTTGGGCGGACCCCTAATTCCATACAAAATCCCAGGTGTGGACCCTAGTGATGGGGAATTGTGCTGGTCTGTTTGGCCTGCAGACCCGGCTTATAGATTATACTGAGAAAGGAGACATTTGTCCTCACCCTGGTTCAGTCAGCGACCTGTCTCTGTCCTACACTCCCCTCCTGCCCGCCCCTCCCCTCTCCTGTCGTTTTGGGAAAGGTGTTGTCTTTCTTTCACCTGTGCTTGAAAAGTGATTTTTTCTCCAAGTCTCCAAAATAAACCGAAGCAGGCCAGACTATTTAAAGATGTTTTTAAGCAGTGCGTTCTCGGATCCAGCTCAGGAATACAGAACCCTAAACGTCGGTGGCCCTAGATGCGATCTGAGTACATGTCATTTATCTGCGGATGCAACTCCCGGACGCTCCATTGCAGCTTTTTTTTTTTTATCACCCACAGAGGACATTTTTGCATTTATCTTCAGACAGAGCGGGAGGGAGAGAGAGACACACACATCGACTGGTTGCCACCCACACGACCCCAACAGAGGCCGGGGACAAACTGTAACCTATGTACATGCCCTTAGCGGGAACCGAACCCGGGTCTCTGTGGACGGTGGGCCGATGCTCTAACTGCTGAGCCCAACTGGCCAGGGTCCACGGCAGCTTTTAAACTGCATACTTTTACCGTTTTGTTTATCTGTTCGTTTGTTTGTTTTTTAAGAAATCCTTGTCCCTGTGGGAACGTCACGGGGGACAAGATAAATCTCCCATTCTTTTGGTGGTTTTTAGGATGCGCGGTGATGATTTGGAGAGAAAGCTGCCTGCTCTTGGCTCCGTGCCCCTGTGCCAATGGGCACACTGAGTTAGTCCTGTGCCTCAGAGTCCAGTGCTCTGTCTGGTACCACAGTTCATTCTGTTCCTTCTGGTCTTAGAGAGAGAGGAAAGGAGAGAAACACTGATTTGTTGTTCTACTTATTTATATATTCATTGGTTGATTCTTGTATGTGCCCTGACCAGGGATCGAACCTGCAACCTTGGCATATCAGGACAATGCTCTAACCCACTGAGCTGCCCAGCCATGGCTAAAATGACCCATTTTACAGTAAACGGTTCAGTGGTGTTTAGGATACTCACTATGTTGTGACCCATCACTTCTATGTATTCCCCAAACATTTTCGTCACAGAACAAAACCTGTACCTAGTAAATAGTTACCACCCTCCTCTGGTCCCTGCAGTTCTCTCTGTGGATTTACTCATGGCTTGTTCATGTATTGGCTTCTTTGGGTGGCATAATGTTTTGTAGGGTTTTATGGCTGACTCATGTTCTGTCATTTGTTAATCCATTCATCTGTCCGTGAGCATTTGAGCAGCTCACACCTCCTGGCATAATGCTGCTGTGAGTATCCGTGTCTAAGCATAAATTTGCGCCCTGGCTGGTATGGCTCTGTGGTCAGACCGTGGCCTGTGCATTGAAGGGTCTTGGGTTCGATCCCCAGCCCTGGTCCTGGTGGGGCATGTTCAGGAGACAATGCATTGATGTGATGTTTCTCTCTCTCTCCCCCTCCGTCCCATCTTTCTAAAAATCAATGGAGCCCTGGAGGGTGTGGTTCAGTGGTTGGAGCATTGGCCTGCAGACCAAGGGGTCTGGGGTTTGATTCCTGGTCAGGGGCACTACCTGGGTTGCAGGCTGGATTGCAACCTGGGGTGCCTACAGGAGGCAACCAATCAATGTATCTCTCTCTCTCTCCCCTCTCCCTTCCACTCTCTCTCAAAAAAAAAAAAAATCAATGAAGTCTGAGAAAAGGGGTAGTCCCAGAGATGTGGAAGTGGGGCACAGACTGACAATCCCCAGAAGAGGGGGTGGGGGGAGAGAGAAACCACAGAACTTATATGCATGTGTGCATGAACAACAGACATGGACAGCAAAGCTGGGGACAGGGCGGGGAGGACCGGGGAGGGTGGTATCAGTAGGGGAAAAGGAGAAACATCTATAACTAAAGTAAATAACTTAATTAAATAAAAATAAATAAAAAATCAATGGAAAAATGTATCTTCAGGTGAAGATCAACCACAACCAAAAGTATATGTCTGCGTCCGTTTTCAGTTCCTTGGGGCACAGACAGCAGAAGTGGCCCTGCGGCCTCAGGCGGTTCTGCAGTGGGCTTTGGGGGAGCTGCCGGATTTCCGCAGGGGCGGCGCCGCCGTCCCGCCCCCGCCCCCGGCGCGGCGGAGTTTCCAGGGTTCTGCGCCCTAGACCCAAAGTCGAAATGACCCGGCCAGGATGGGGAAGTGGCCTCTCGCTGGGAAACAGCGTGCTCTTTACTCTACACCGCGGCCTCCACGTCACCGCCGGAGGACGGACCCCAGGGGTGATGCAAGCAGAAATTCCGCGGCCCGCATGTCACCTGTCACATCGCCGCGCGCCGCGCTCGGGCTCCAGTTCGGCCCGCGCCGCCGGGAACAGATCGGCCGCCGCCCGGGACAGCTCGGCCACCGCCGGGAACCGCTCGCCCGCCGCCGGGAACCGCTCGCCCGCCGCCGCCGCAGGATGAGCGACTGCGAGCCCGGGTACGTGCAGGGGCTGGCGCGGGACTACCTGCGCTACGTGCTGCAGGCCCCGGCGCCCGCGCCCGGCCGGGCCTCCCGGCTGCTGCAGGAGGTGGCCTTCGCCGTGCAGACGGAGATCGAGGCGACGCTGAAGCCCGTGCTGGACTTCGACGTGCCGTCGGTGGAGCGCGCCAGGGCCATCTTCAACGAGGTGATGGAGAAGGAGTTCGAGGACGGCGTGGTGAACTGGGGCCGCATCGTGACGGTGTTCGCCTTCGAGGGGATCCTGGCCAAGAAGCTGCTGGGGGAGCGCGCCCCGGACGCGGACACTGCGCAGGAGGTCTCCCGCTTCGTGGCCGAGTTCCTCACGAGGACCGCGGGGGAGTGGATCCGGCAGCACGGCGGCTGGGTACGTGGTCCTCGCTTCCCCGCGCCCGGGCGCTCCAGGTTCCCCGCTAGCGAGCTGCGGGCCCCGGAGATGTCGCACAGCTTTGACCGAGCAGTGTAGGAGGGTCTGCGGACACCCCTTCACACACACACACTCCTACAGGGCGCAGAGTGGTGTGTGTATTGGGGCAAAAGCAGGTTTACAGCTGTTCGTATGGAAAATAATACGATAATTAATAAATTATAATCCAAGAATGAACTTTTGCATACCCACAACTGCAAGCCTACTTTTGCCCCACCCTGTGTGTGTATAAAGATTATATTTTAAAGATCTCTCTAACCCATCTTTATTTTTTTAATAAAGTAGTTTTAAGAAACATATTTTCATTGATTTTTTAGCGAGGAAAGGAAAGAGAAACATCCATGTGAGAGAGAAACACGGACGGGCCGCCTCCTGCACGCCTCCTACTGGGGATCCAGCCCGCAACCTGGGCGGTGCCCTGACCGGGAGGCAGCGGGTCCTTCAGTCCATGGGTGGGCGCCCAGTCACTGAGCCACACCAGTGGGGCTCTCTAACCCATTTTTAGAACCAACAGTGCAAAGCCTAGTCTAGGACTTACTGTTTGCTGGGGTTGTCATGACAACATAGACTTCCCGGCAAGAGAGTTGATAATAGATGCTGTTATTTAGGTATTTACGACGTTGAAACAAGCAGGTGTAACTTTCTGCAAGTTCATTGCTTACAGATAGATTCCTACGCCCCTCAATCTTCTATATAACAAATTCTGGCTGTTAAAGCTTGATGATAAAAGTAATGTACTGCACCACCAGCAAGAAACTTTATCCTACAATTTCCAAATAAAAATTCACTTTATTATGAATGCTTCAGAAAACCAGAACCACGAGGGGGCCTGTGTTGGAACTCGTGTTGATGAGGGGCCTTCCACAGCACGCTGTGTGTGCTTTTCTCCACACCCCAATACCTGATACTTACCCCTTGAAAGCCCCCAGGGACCCTCTCCCCCACCTCCAATCCTATCCCTTCCCTCTCCCCGGAGGTAATCACTGTTATCAATTATTTTACATGCAAAACATAGGCATTGATTATAGCCATAGAAAACATACATAGTACTTCTTTGTAAAAAAGTTTTTTTATATGTATAAATAGAACATATTCTGCTTTTTCTTCACCCAAGGGTATTTAAAACAGTATTTTTAAAAGAGTGCTACATGTGTGCTGTGTGCGGGTCTATAGAATGTCATTTCTAGCTGATGGATATTTAGGTTATTTCCACAGTTCGCAGTCATGAAGATGACGCGTCACTGAATACCTTGTTCGTGCCTTCCCTGTGTTTCTCTAGGGTGGCTGCTGGGCTGTGGTGTAGGCACATTTTTTCATTTACTAAATTCCTGTTTTCACTGTTACTCCCATCCCAGGCGCTGGCCCCGCCCAGCCGACTAACACTAGGTTATGGCAGTCTCTGTTTCCCCGCTCTGTTGAGTTAAACATATATCCCTAAATTACCTGGTTTAATTCTTGTTTCCTTAGTTACTACTGGGGCTAAGCATCTTTTCATAGGTTTATTGACCACTGGCAAGTCTTTTTTAGGGAACTGCCTACTTATATTCTTGGCCCATTTTCCTATTATTTTGTCTGTTTCTTATTGACTTGTAGGAATTCTTCAAATAATCTGGATACAAAATAGTTTTATAGGTGTGGCAGGCAGCTCCCAGTTTGCTAGCTGGCTTTTGAAGCCAGAGGTGTGTGCAGTCTCAAATGTCTGAGAACTTGAAGCGATCCTGTCCTAGTCTTCTGCATCGTGCCGGGGCCTCCTGCAGAATGACCCGACCTCTGCGAGCGCCGCCCTTTCTGCCCCTTGTCTTCCTGCAGCTCTTCTCTGAGCCTGACCTGGGGCTGGGGGATCTCGGCTGTGCTGTGGAGCTTTCAAGGGAGGGCGAACATCCTCCTGCACGGAGGCCCATGCGTGAGCCTGGCAGGGACTGTGCTCTGTGCCTGCAGTATTTGGAACTGAGGCAGTGAGGAATGTTATTTGAAAATTTAACCTCTTAACATAAGTGTTGTGAGCTCCTGGAACTCATAACCTGTGGGGGTAGGGAGCTGTCTCTGAGAATTCCTAGAAGTGTAGTTATCTTCGGGGAGGCACAGGTGTAAGTGTGAGCATGGCAGGGTGAGCCTGTCTTGGGTGGAGGCACAAAGACAGAGCGTGCCCGCACACCACACTCAGCCTCCACCAAGTCCTTAGGTAGGGTTCAAGCTCTCAACCGACACCTGATAACTCAGATCTGAGATGTGTGGAAACACTGGGCATTTCAGAGCAGCCTCACCCTCCCTTCCCAGCTCACACGCGCTGCTGTTCTGTTCATGGGGGGCGGGCTCTTCCGACTGACACCTGAGCACCTCAGATCTGAGATGTGGGAAACACTGGGCATTTCAGAGCAGCCTCAACCTCCCTTCCCAGCTCACACGCGCTGCTGTTCTGTTCATGGGGGGCGGGCTCTTCCGACTGACACCTGATAACTCAGATCTGAGATGTGGGAAACACTGGGCATTTCAGAGCAGCCTCAACCTCCCTTCCCAGCTCACACGCGCTGCTGTTCTGTTCATGGGGGGCGGGCTCTTCCGAGCCGCCCACTCCAGCAGGGCAAGGTGCCTTCTCACAGCGACTGGGACAAGTCTGTGCAAATGAATGAACTGACTCTCGAATGATGCACTTCAGGGGAAATGGACAGTTATTTCCTGTACTAGCACATGTGCCTGTACTAGTGGGGTCACCAGGAAGAGGGGAGAACAGCACAGCTTGGAAGCAGACAGACCTGGGTGTGTTTCCAGCTCCTCTGTGATGTCAACAAGTTACTGAACTTCCCTAAGCTTCAGTCCCTCTGTATGACAGGGGGACCTGCCTCCTCTCTCCCGGGACTGCACGAGGGTGAGGTCAGTGACTGCTGTACGGGGAGCACCTAGAACAGTGTCTGCAAATAAGTGCTCAGTACTTGCTGTTGTTATTAGTAGGAGTAGTAGTGTTGCCTAACTTCCCTGAATAAATATATTCAATCTCCATTAATTATATAATCAATTACAGTTAGATGTTCATCACCATCTAAAACAGATGCCCTAAATTGGGGCTGGGGGGAGACCCAAGTATCCATAATGGGATTTATAAGCTCCGAATCTATTCTTTCTCATTTTTATCAGAATGAGTTCTTTCTCCCTCCCTGCGCTCCTCCCTTCCCTCCGGCTGCTCTCATCTCTGCTGTCACCCCTGTCCAGCTACCAGCACTCCCATGTGAAGAGCTGAGAAGGGCTGGCTCTCGCGAGCTCTGGCAGGAGGCAGGTGCTCCTCCCTGCTGACCTCAGCGTTCCTGAGGCAGCCCCGGTCTCAGAAACCACCCGCGTGTGCCCGAGATGAGCCTCCTCGCCCCTTGGAACTGGGGGGCTCTTCTACTTCCGTCCTCATCAGGAGAGCGCTCTCCCGGGCCTGTGCTGGGCCAGGGAGTGGGAAGGGCGTTCACACCAACCCTCAGCTCCACGCAGGAGGGCAGGGATCCTGCTCACAACACTACCTGGCAAGTGCCAAACGCTCAATGAATGTTTTCTGAATGAAATGATCGCTAGCCAGGTGGGGACAACATCAGGGCATTTCCCTGTATCTTGAGTAAAATCCTGAGGGTCTGATTTTCTCTGGATTATTGATATAGGGCATTATCTTATGCTTTAGGCTTTCTTGAAACCAAGGTAGCTGAACTTAATAAACTATTCCCAGAAATGACCAGATCTAGATATCCTTATGTAATATTATGTGACTGATAGGATATCAAATCCTCATTTGTATATTTATTTTTACATAGTATTTTAATAGACAAATAGCATCATTAAAAAATATTTTTCAGCCCGGCCGGTGTGGCTCAGTGGATTGAGCGTCATCCCATGGACTGAGAGGTCCCGGTTCAATTCCCTGTCAGGGCACATGCCTGGGTTGCAGGCTCGATCCCCATTGGGGAGGTGTGGGAGGTAGCGAACTGATGTTTCTCTCTCTCATTGATATTTCTATTTCTCCCTTCCTCTCTCTCAAAAAAAAGGAAAAAATCACCCCTACCCTAACCTATCTGCATGCAGATACAATTACAATGAAGGTATATAGAAGAGTTTTTTCATGTGACATTAAGTTAAAAACATTTTCAGTGTCTCCTCACATATTCTCTGTTAACATTTCTAATGTCTGCAGAATATTCCACCAACTTTAAGTGTCATAATTTACTTAATTGACTCCCAATGGTTAGACATTTGAGTTCCCTACCCCCCATTTTCCCTTTTTAGAAATAATGTTTTAATACTGACCATGGGTGTGGTCTCCACCCATATTTTATTATATTTTTACTTTTTTTGATAGAGTGGACAGAGAAACATCGATTGGTTGCCTCCCACGCCTCCCAGACGAGGGCTGGGGATGGAACCTGCTACCCAGGTACATACCCTTGACCAGGAATCGACCCCTCAACCTTCTGGTGCACGGGGCAGTGCTACAGCCAACTGAGCCACCCAGCCAGGGCCAGATACCTGAGAGAGAAAGGGGAGAAGAGGAGACTTCCTACCCTCTAGAACTGCTGTCCACTTGTGACAGTTGAGCAGCTGAAATGTGGCTGGTCTGAATTAAGATAAGCTGTAAGTGCAAAATACATATTATTTTATTTATTTTTAAAACTATGTTTTTATTGATTTTTTAGAGAGAGAGGAAGGGAGATAGAAATAGAAACATCGATGAAAGAGAGAAACATTGATGGTTGCCTCCTACACGCCCCCACCAGGGATCAAGCCTACAACCCAGGCTTGTGCCCTGACTGGGAATTGAACTGGGACCCCTCAGTCCATGGGATGACACTCGATCCACTGAGGCACACTGGCTAAGCCAAAATACATGTTATTTAAACTTTTTTTTTTTCTTTATTGATTTTAGAGAGAGGAAGGGAGAGGGAGAGAGAGATAGAAACATTGATGAGCGAGAAGACTGATTGGCCACCTCCTGCATGCCCCCACTGGGAATTTGGCCCACACCTGGGCATGTGCCCTGACCGGGACTGGTGACCTCTTGGTGCAGGGGATGACGCTCAACCACTGAGCCTCACTGGCTGGGCAAAATACATGTTATTTTAAAGATGTGATACAAAAGATTGTCAGACACGTCATTAATAATTTTCATATTGAATACATATTGAAACCATAATATTTTAGATGAATAAATTTCAAAAATCAATTCTGCCTATTTCTTTTTTCCTTTTAAATCTGTGGATGCTAGCCCTGGTCGGTTTGGCTCAGCGGTGAGAACTCTGGCCTGAGGACTGAGGGTCTGATTCCTGGTCAAGGGCACAGAACTGGGATACAGGTTCGATTCCCGGCCTCAGTGGCTGGGATCACGAGGAAGGCAACCAGTCCATGTGTCTCTCTCACATCGATGTTTCTCTTTCTCACCCTCCCTCCCTCCCATTCTATCTGAAAATCAATGGAAAGATATCCTTGGGTGAGGATTAACAAAAAATAATAAAATAGGAATAGAACGTGGCTGCTCAATACTAGCATCACACACAGTTCCGCTCCACTTCTCGCGCAGTGCTGCTCTGCGGTTGGAGAAGAAAAGGATGGGGAGAGCGAACGGAGTAAAATGCGTGAGGCCACAGGAAGAATAACCATCCACTTTCTTTGCTTTTTAGTCCAGCAAAGTTTGTCTCCACTGATTTTTAAAAATGTTAAATCTGTTCTCTCATAGGAAAATGGCTTTGTGAAGAAGTTTGAACCCAAATCTTGTTGGCTGACTTTCCTGGAAGTTACAGGAAAGATCTGCGGAGTGTTATTTCTCCTGCAGCAGTACTGCTGATGGAAAAGGACAGCCATTGCGAAACTGGCTGAACTTTCTGGACTCTTGCAAGAGGTACTGACCACACTTGCTTCTTCTACTTTCAAACACATAACACTCATGATACATCCTGACAGTGCACAATTATGGAAGTTTTGTCCTTATTTTAATGAATAAATAAAATATTTGTATCACTCTGTATTTTGTGTCCTGCCTGGGAGTCCGACTGCGGGCTGACGCTCAGTACGGGCAGGTATTGGATTCAGGGGAGGAGTAAGAGGAAGGTCCTGTCTTCTGCCCCAGCACATTTTCTTAAGGGTGTGTCCGTGACCTACTGCTCCAGATTGCACAGTTGTGTGAGTCAGCTTCCCACTTCTCTCTGACCCTGTCTTTTGTTGGCCCCAGTACCCCTGGAGGCTTAGAGTTTCCCCTCCCCCAGCCTCCACTCCTTGACCTGCCCTTTGGAGTGGGTGGACATAGCAGCCACTCAGGACACAGTGGGACGGTCTGAACCAAGGCAGGGCAACGATTCTGTGTCACTGGAGACATGTCACAGGTCAGAAAATTGTCCTTTGTTGGGCCGCATTCGGACTGTGAGGTCAGCAAACCTGATAGGTCCTCAAGCACCTGCCCTCCCCCTCTCCCCCTCTCCCCAAACGATCTCTTCGCCTTGGGGCTGGGACCTTGCCGAGGAAGCTGCAGATGCACCCCCATTCTACTCTTGAGGAAAAAGCCTTAAAAAGCAGGAAGAACCTTGTCCAAGGTCCAGGGTGGGTCACATGGGCCCTCAAGCCCACACTGGTCCTCACTGTCCTGAACCCCCTCACTGCAGCACCTCCTTCTCATCACCCAGTGCCACCCAGACCCTCGGCTTCCTTCCCACTCCTTTTAGGAGCTGACACTGCGTGTCGAGGTCAGCTGGGGGAAACTGGGTCTTCAGCGGCCAGGTGAGTGTCATGTGTCCTCCTTGAGGTATCACCCAACTTAAAACTGGTCACTATTATTTTGGATGTGGAAACTTTTTAAAAAAACAGTCACCTGAAAACATTTTTGTATTTATCCTCAGTTAGAGTGGAAGGGAGAAAGGGAGGAAGAAAGAGAGAGACACATCGACGTGAGAGAGACACACTGAATGGCTGCCACCCACACGACCCCAACCGGGGCCGAGGACAAACTGCAACTGAGGTACATGCCCCTAGCGGAACGGAACCTGGGTCTCTCTGGTCCGCGGGCCAACACTCTAACCGGCCGGGGCTGGATGTGGAAGTTGCTAACAGGGAAAGGTTGCTTTGTCTAACCCTGTATGAGAATAAAACAAACCCTTTCTTTATAAATGGCAGCTCTGGGTGGCTACTTTCTGATGGAAGATGGTATTAGGGCACCGCATGGGGGTGGCGCATGGCTAAGTCATTTTCCCAGTGTTGGTGTGTTCACTGACTCATCTGCTTCATGACCTAAGGCAGGATCTTCAAGACAGCTGACTGAGCCTAGGGCGATGGGTTCTTGTCTTCCTAGTAAATCTAACTGGCTCACAGGAGAACCAAACCCATGATCAACGTTCTCTGAAATTGTCCTCAAGGTGAAGGCTGATGTCTGTACAGGAAGATTTTATTGTGGACACTTGCAACACAATTTACGTAAGCCATTCATTTCTCACCGACCTTGCCTGCTATTTCGTCACATGTCCTCCCCACCATGTTTACCTACCCTGCATCTAGACTGTTTTTCTTCCCTCCCATTATGATGAGTCAGTTGTTCTGAGACAGGCCAGTTGCCAGGACAAGTGGACCAGGGAAACCAAGACGGAGCTGAACAAAATGGCAGACAATTCACCAGGTGCAGAAGGTCACCTCCCTGGAGATAACACGTGGGCCTCAGTTGTATTTCAGCTCCAGACCCAGAAAAGCAGCAAAGCCAGGTGGACGACACCAAGACCAGCTGCAAAGACTAGAGACCCCCTGCCCTCACACTGACCAATCAGTGAAGACCAGGACCCTGAAGGAGCACACCTAGAAAACGGATGCATATTCCGCTGAAGCCCTCCCCTAAGATTCCCACCTGCAAGAAAGAGACAAAAGCCTCAACACAAAGGACCCAGCCCCCCTCCCTAAGGCAAGCATTTCCCAGGAGGCTTGCAACCAGGGCAGCAGTGGGCAGAGGCAGTTCCTCCCCAGCAAACCCCCTCAACCTGTTCCCAAGGCCCCTTTTCTCTGACCTCTCAGTGAGCCGAAGCAGCCCAGCCTGGGCTCATTTCCCAGCCCTTCCTTGTTTCACTGTCCCCAGCTTTAACTAACATCCTCAGAAATTCACCTGGACTTACGTTGTGAAACTTTTCCTGCGTGAAGTCAAGAACCCACATACTACTGCCGGCCCGAGGCAGACTGCCCAGGGCCAGGCCCCCTTTCCCAGAACAGTTCCAAGGCCGAGGGCTCACAGCTGTGCGCTAGACCTCGCTCCTCACTGCCTCCCTAGGAACGTCTCTTCAGCCTTCCTCTTCGGCCCAGTTTCCCTCCCCTGCTGGACCAGTCCCGTTCGCACAGAAACCGGCTGGCATGTTTCCTGTGTGAGCAAGGTTTGGTGATGGTGTGACCAGCAGCAGACATCCGTGGCTGGGAGCCAGTTAGGAGCCTGCTGCAGAGAGGTTAGTAAATACAGGTTGACTTACACTTGAGTCAACTAAGATTTCTGTATCTAGCCATTTGTAGAAGTACATTTAAAACCATGAGTGTAGCCCCGGCTGGTGTGGCTCAGTTGAGAGATGATTCAAGCACCAAGACGTCTAAGGTTTGATTCCCGGTCTGGGCACATTGAGGGCTCAGTCCCCAGCAGAGAGCGTGCAGTAGGCAGCTGATTGATGTTTCTCTCTCCTTCTCCCTCTAAAGAATCAATAAAACATATTACAAACAAACAAAACATGAGTTCACGCTGACACTTTCAATTCCAATGCACCACAGAGTTCAGTCCAAACTTCCTCTTTCCTTGTTTGTAACTTATTTTTCCAAAAGGGAGAAACCTGACTCTCATTATCCACAATATAGGTGCACATCTTTTCAACTCCAGAATATAAAGTCGTTTGACAGTGGCTATGAAAAACAAATGCACGAATTAGAGCGTAATATTTGTAGAAAGCTATTTTTGTCTTTAGCCTTATGGCATTTTGTCAAAAATACTGTTTTACAAAGTTACTTAAGTTCTTCTCCACCCATCTGGTTGTGGTTATGTTAATCGTCTACAATACAGTTCACTTTGTCTCTGCTTGTTTGCTACTTTGGCTTCCCCCTACCCTCTGGTTGCATGTACATATGTATGTAAAACATTGCCATGGTTCTAAGAGTCAGAGCTATCCAAAGAAGTACCATGGGAGAACTATCACTTTCTCCTCACTACTGCTCCATTTCCATGTTCCCATTCTTTCTACCCCTTTCTCACCCATTCCTACAGGTACCCAAACTCAGGTCCTGGTTTACATGTACTGCGTTTTCTTCAGGAAATGGGCAGAAAAGCTTCTATTTTCGTTTATCCCTTACTTTCATATATGAAGATATAATTCGCATTGAATTCACCCTTTTAAAATATACAATTCAATGGTTTTTAGTATATTCAGCATTGTACAACTATCAGCACAACTGAATTTTAGGACATTTTCATCATCCCCAAAAGAAATCCTTTACGCTATTCCCTTTGTCCCCAGCCCAGGGCAATCACTGATCTACGGTCTGTGTCTATGGATTTGCCTGTTCTGGACCTTCCCTATAGATGGGGTCATAAACACATGGTCCTTTGTATCTAGCTTCTTTCACCTGGCGTGCAATTTTCAGGGTCCATCCATGTCATGGCATTTTAATTCCACAGATATGAGAGGGTTTCAGTTTCTCCACATCCTCACCAACCCCTGTCTGTTTATTTTCTATTTTTATTTTGTAATGACAGCCATCCTAGTGGATGTGAAGTGGCATCTCTTTTCGGTTTTGTTTTGCATTTCCCTAATGACTAATAATGTTGAAATATTTTCTTTTATTATTTTTTTTAATGTTTTTATTGCTTTTTTTAGAGAGAGTGGAAGGGAGAGAGATAGAAACATTGATGTGAGAGAGAAATATTGATCTGCTGCCTCCTGCACACCCCCCATGGGGGATTGAGTCCACTAGCCGGGCACGTGCCCTGACAGGGAATCGAACTGGGACCTCTCAGTCCATGGGACGATGCTCTATCCACTGAGCCACACCAGCCGGGCTAATGTTGAAATCATTGAATATGCTTATCTGCCTTTGTATATCTTATATGGGAACTGTCTATTGAAGACCTCTGCCCATTACCTGTTTTTTTCACTGCTGAGTTGTAAGGAATCGTTATATGTATATGCTATTCTGGACATGAGCCCCTTGTCAAATATGATTTGTAAATATCTTCTCCCATTCTCTAGGTAATCTTTTCATTTTCCCGATGGCGTCCTTTGATGCCCATGTTTTGAACTCTGATGAACTTTGTTTTGCTGCTTGTGTTTTTGTTGTTATCACTAAGAAACCGTTGCCTAATTCAAGGTGGTAAAATGTATGCCTCTATTTTAGCTCTATTGTGTTAGTTCTTCTATGCAGGCCCCTTCGGTCTATTTGCAGTTCAAGTTATTTAAAAAGCCCCAGTGCCTTGAGATGCCACCTTTATCCTACACTGAATTTCCACGTGGCTTCGGGTCTGTTTCTGCGCTTTTGGTCTGGTCTACTGCCCACCTGTGTATCCGAGTCAATCACAGTCTTCACAGTTCTGTTTCAATGTCCGGAAGGACTAGCTCCCCCTGCGACCTTCAGGTCTGAGTGTTCCCCCAGCTATTCTTGAATTGCCCCCTTTCCGCACGAACTTTAGGAAGGGTGATTTACTCGCGTAAAGCCTAGTTTTCTCTAAGCCTGCAGTTATCTTGGGAGTCTTACTTCCTGACCCACTGACCCCCGCCCGCTCTTGGACGTGGGAGGGGTCATGCACCGCAGGCGTCCGGCTCCACACCTGGTGGCCCCAGGCGGGCCCCTCCCCCTCCTCCCGGCCCAGGTAAAGCCCTGCGGGGAGGGAAACGGGTGCGCCCGCTGGATCCCAGGACGCACACTTCTGCAGGGGGCGCGAGTACCGGTTACTGCACCTGACTCAGCGGAGGGCTGGAGGTGGGCGTGGCGGGGGCGTGGCGGGGGCGTGGCGCCCGCGATCCGGAAGCCGCAGACCTTCCCGGGCCTGCGGACCAGCGGCCTGACAGGCCCGTACCCAGGACATGGCGGCGGCGGCGGTGAGCGCTGCCAAGCGGAGCCTGCGGACCGAGCTGAAGCAGCGCCTGCGGGCCATCAGCGCCGAGGAGCGGCTGCGCCAGTCCCGCCTGCTGACCCAGAAGGTGCGCGACCGCAGGAGCGGCCACCGCGACCGGCCCGATCGACGTGCCCATGGCCGCGGGTTTGCGGATCTGCGCAGGCGCAGGCCTCGGGGCGTGCGCACATGGCCCGCGCGCGCGCAGCGCCGTCAGCCTCCGCGCACACGTCCCGCCCCCCCCCCTTCCACGCTGAACTTCCCTTGACCCCAGCGTGCATTCGCTTCCCATTCTCACGTGCTCACGTCCTTCCGGGCACGCGCACGTCCTTGAGAGCGTGGCTGGGCGCTCAGGCGCGAGGCCCGCGGGACAGCTCCTGGAGGCCGGGTGGCCACGCGAGCGCGGTGGGGCCAATGCAGGTGCTGAGGCAGGAGCAGTGCGAACTGAGACCCCAGGTGGAGGCGCCGCGAGCGAAGACCCCTCTGCCCGCCCTGCCCCAGAGGGGAAGACCGCCCGCCTAGGGCCGCGTGCTCCTGCCGGGCAGGGTGACGTCACGGTGACGTGCTTCCGGAGGGAAAGGCCGCGCTCTGATCTCAGACTCCCGCTGGGCGAAGATGAGACCCGGGTTCGGTTCCCGCTGGGGGCACGTGCCTCGGTTGGGGTCGATGTTTCTCTCGCTCTTCCTCCCCCTCCCGCTCTATCTGAGCAAAAAATGGAAATGTGGCCTCGAGTGAGGATTAAAAAAAAAAAAATGCTGATGGTGACCCACCATTGATTAGCGACCAACTATGGCTCACACCCGAAGCATCAGTGGTACGGTGACCAACGTGCTTTGTCCCAGTGCGTGCTCAGTAAAGGTGTCGCCTGATGCTTTTCTCCCCAACCAAAAACAGCGCATGGATTCTTATCCACACAACCTTTTTTTTTTTTATCCTCACCTGAGGACATTTTTCCATTTTTTTGTACAGATAGAGTGGGAGGGAGAGAGAGGAAGGGAGAGAGAGAGAGAAACATCGATGTGAAAGGGACACATCGAGTGGCTGCCACCCGCACGACCAACCAGGGCCGGGGACAAACTGCAACCGAGGTACGTGCCCTTAGCGGGAACCGAACCTGGGTCAACACTCTAACCGCTGAGCCAAACTGGCCAGGGCCACACAACCTTTTAATAAGGTAGACATGTATCAGCCAGGTAAAGAGATTCGACTTTGTGCCATATCTTGACTCCCCAACCAAATAAGATGAGGGAATCATGCCCCTTCTGCTCCCTTTGTCTTCTCCTTCATCTGCCACGTTCTGCCACCCTGCATCGTCATGTTTAAATTGTCAAGCGTTGTGACAGTCATACTCTGCTCCCTGGAATGATTCTGCTGAGCATTTCCTGGGGCAGATTTCCGACGTGGAAATTGGAGAACGTCGTATTTGCTCTACGTTGGTTATATAGGTAGATTCAGTGTGGAAGCGAGTTGGGTGATGGAATATCTAAGACGAGGAGTTGTCATTGTATATGCCACTAGATGTGTGTTGTTGTTTCAGTGTGTCAATACCAAATATTTTCTCTTAGGCTCTGCAATTGCTCAAACTCGTACCGTGTTTCAGTTTGTTGAAACAACAACACACATCTAGTGGCATATACAATGACAACTCCTCGTCTTAGATATTCCATCACACAACTCGCTTCTACACTGAATCTATCTATATAACCAACGTAGAGCAAATACGACGTTCTCCAATTTCCACGTCGGAAATCTGCCCCAGGAAATGCTCGCCGTGTTTCAGTTTGTTCCTGTTTGCAGTCTACATTGCTGAGCTAGCTGTGTGTTTTCCCAGGAGTTTCTGATCACCTTTATTTTTCATTTTTTGGCAAAAAGCATGCCAGCTTCCTGCTTCCTCTGGTCTGGTTGCCTTCTAGCCCATTGGACAGCCACTGCTCTGGGGTTCCTCTTACCCCACTCCTTATTAGGGCTGTTTGTTGAAGCCAATGTCTTTTTGTTGTTGTTGTTGTTACTGATTGATTTTAGAGAGAGAGGAAGGGAGAAGGGAGATAGAAACATCGACGAGAGAGAACATGCATGGATTGGCTGCCTCCTGTATGCCCCCCACTGGGGATTTGGCCTACAACCTGGGCATGTGCCCTGACTGGGAATCAAACCAGTGACCTCTTGGTGCATGGGTTGACACTCCACCAGTGAGTCACACTGGCTGGGCGGCACTTGCTTTTAGAGGGGCTTTGCCTCCCTAAGAAGCCCCATGTCCCATCTTTGTGAACATTTTAATGTTGATTTGAACAGAAGAGGTTTAGGAAACAGGATGGAGGTAAGCAGAGCTAAGAGAATTGTGAGGGTGTTCTCTGCCTCCTGGGAGCTTGCAGACTGGTTAGAATACTGGAGTCAGGACACATAAGACAGCCAGTAATCAACTCCTGACAGCACACGCACACGCTAAGCTATATATTAGCTGTAAATGCAAGGGTTTGGCAGAAGTCAGGAAATGTTAGGGCTTGAGTTGGGCTTAAGTAGGGAGCTTTTTAGGAAAGAAACCTCACAATCCAAAGAGTGAAGAAGCTTGGGGAGTGAAGGTTAAAATAGCGTAAAGAATCTAGGCCCTAGAGTCTCAACCTGTGGGTCGCAACCCCTTTGGGGGTCACCTAAGATATAACAGTAGCAAAACCACAGTTATGAAGTAGCAACGAAAATAATTTTATGGTTGGGGGTCACCACAACTTGAGGAACTGTATTAAAGGGTCGCGGCGTTAGGAGGGTTGAGAACCACTGCTCTAGGGGAATTGGGTGAGAAGGGTAGGTAGATCGAAGTAGACCACAGGGCCCCACAGCGACTTTACAGTGAGTGTTCATACCTACAAAAGTAGGTGTGCCAGCCCTGGCCGGTTTGCTCAGGGGTTAGAGCATCGGTCTGCAGACCAGAGAATCCCAGGTTCAGTTCCCACTAAGGGCATGCACCTCGGTTGCAATTTGTCCCCGCCCCAGTTGGGGTCGTTGTGTGGGTGGCAACCAGTAGATGTGCTCTCTCATGTTGATGTTTCTCCTCCCTCCCACCCCCTGCTCTATCTGAAGATAAATGCAAAAATGTCCTCTGGTGAGGATAAAAAAAAAAAAAAGGTGTGCCAGAGAGGTGTAAAGGGATCAGAGAATTAGTGTTGGATTGAGAACCAAAAGTTAGGGTTCAGGATGCAACATCGTCTGACCCTGTAGCACTCTGCTGTTTCTGTGTTTGGACAGTTGAAGAAGTTGAAGAAGATTGACAAAGAAGGGAGAAAATGTTAAAGCTGTTAAGGGGAGGCAGTGGTTTTTAAAAGTATAATCTTGGAAAATATAATTGCCATCATTTCCCATTTAGGTGATTGCCCACAGTCAGTATCAGAAGTCCAAAAGAATTTCCATCTTTCTGAGCATGCAAGATGAAATTGAGACAGAAGAGATCATCAAAGACATCTTCCAACAAGGCAAAACCTGCTTTGTCCCGCGATACCGGTCCCAGAGCAACCACATGGATATGGTGAGATTGGCGTCCCCCGAGGAGATTTCTTCACTTCCCAAGACCTCCTGGAATATTCATCAGCCCAGTGAGGATGAGGTTCGGGAGGAAGCCTTGTCCACAGGTGAGCATGTGGTATCAGAATTGACATCTGAGGATGCAGTCAGACTGTGATGAGTTGTTAGACCTCTGACCTACTTGTTATGTTTGGGTCGGGGGGAGACGCTTTCCCTGTAGGGATGAATTGGTATTTCACTGTTTTCTGACACCCACACGACCTGGCTTAGGATGGGTGCCTCCGTGAGCCGAGAAATGTCAGCTGTAACAGTGAGGCATTAGGTGTTAGGACTCTTGCCCCAACCTTGTGGGTTGAATTATACATTTTCCCTGAATAATTTTTTCATCTCCCACAGTTTCAGTTATGGTCTGTATGTTCACGAGCACATTATTATTCACGCGAATACGCTTTTATATCTCCAGTTCAGACCTGTCAGTTCCCTTCTGGACATCTCTGCTTGGATCTCAGACACATGTTCAAAAAAGAATCACGTTCCCCTCAACCCCTGCTGTCATGTATCTCTCTTCGTGCCTGGTACCATCAGCTGCCCCCTGGACCATGCTAGAAATCTCGGGATCATCCCCGACTCCTCTCTTTCTCGCATGCCCTGCATGTGGTCATTGCTAAGTCCTGATGATCTACGGAGTATTAATTGAATCTGCCCACTTCTGTCCAGACCTACTGCTGCTGCTGCAGTCTGAGCCCCCACCTTCTCTTGCCTGGTCACGGTGACAGCTTCTTTGCTGTCCTTGCTTTCCTCTCAGCCCACGATCTGCACCGGGCTTGAAGCAGGACTTCTAAGACACAGACCCGACCTCTCTCCCTGGTTTAAGTCTTCCCGCGACTTCCTGCTGCCTTAGGTTGAAGTGAACAGTCCTCAACCAGGCTTTTCCTGACCTGGTCCTGCTTATTTGTCCATTTTCACACCTTTCTCTTCCCCCACTTCCTCATCTAAGTTCCAGCCGCTCAGAATGTCTCTCAGTTTCCCACCCCCACTTTGCTTTCTGTACGGCTGGACCTGTACACTGCCATCCCCGGGCCAGCAGCCACTCGGCAGATTTAATCCTCAAGCAGTCCAGGAGCGGAAAGCGAAAGCAGCCAAGATTACCGTTTCAGAATACAGCACCTCAAACCTGGCTCAGAGGTGTATATTTTTGGCTAAGATTTAAATGGTTGCAAAGAAACCCGGGTACAGTTTCATGCAGTCTTCTCCCAACTTGTATCCCCCTTCCAACATAACACCATAACCTGCAAAATCAATTGTATGTCAGAAGGGACAGGATCAAGGACTCACAGTAGTGGGGGTTATCTGCTTCGCTGCATTAACTTCTGTTATCCATCCCGCACTTTGCTAGATGTCTAGGCCTCAGAGGTACACTCAGATCTACCGCCTCCACCTTGGGTCCTGCATCTGCAGACCAGATGCATGCCGGAGTTAGGCAACTCTTCCATGTTTTCAGGAAGCAAGAGTGCAGGCATTTTTTGTTTGTTGTTAATCCTCACCTGAGGATATTTTTCCATTGACATTTAGATAGAGATAGAGTGGAAGGGAGGGAGGGAGAAGGAGAGAGAGAGAGAAAGAGAAACATCGACATGAGAGGGACACATCGACTGGTTGCCTCCCACACAACCCCTACGGGGGCCAGGGATCGAACCTGCAACCCAGGTACATGCCCTTGACTGGAAACTGAACCCGAGACCCTTGGGTCCGCCGGCCGATGCTTTGACCGCAGAGCCAAACCAGCCAGGGAATTGCAGGCATTTTAAGAAAATGAGGCTCATAGATAAGGAAAGACAGGAATTGCAGGCTTTCACGTTGCTCACACTTGCTACAGCTGCTTCCCCAGACTCGCAGGCCGACAGTGGAGCTGAATTTATTAACAGCTCCTCCACAGCTTCCGCTTCATCTCTGTGATGTCCTAGCTGATGGACCTTCTACCTGGTGGCCTCCAACAACCAGTGCCTCTCTCGGTCCATTCTGCCCCTTCTAGAATGTCTTCCTTAGGGTGAGCTAAAATGCACCACCTTTAACCTCCACGTATTTGTCCTGTTTCTGCGGAAGCACAGCCGTGGGAAGAGGAAGAAAGCAGCATGATCTTTCCTCTCGGTTTGGTTGCACTTCCTGCTGAGGGTAGACTCGGTCGAACAGATGAGCTCAGTCCTCTGGGGATGGTTTTTAGCACATTATTTGGCACATCTAAGCTATTCAGTGATTGGTAACTATCATTAATTTTAAGTAAGGAAAGGAAAATGATTCATTACACAGTCAACTCCTTGCTTATTGAGTGTGTAACATTTTGATAATTTCCGACAGACACTTTTGGGTGTCTACTCTGTGTCACACACTGTGTTAGCTCTGGGAGAAGAAGGCCCAGGACTTCAGAGGCATCACACCACAGCTGACGAGACAGAAAACATGCGTAAATAGAACGAGTGTCTCAGCCTTCAACATATGTCAGATATAAGTGTCAGATTAAAATATACAGAATATTAATATAGCCCTGGCCGGTTTGGCTCAGCGGTTAGAGCGTCGGCCTGCGGTCCAGAGAGACCTGGGTTCGGTTCCCGCTAAGGGCATGTACCTTGGCTGCAGTTTGTCCCGGCCCTGGTTGGTTCGTGTGGGTGGCGGCCACTCGATGTGTCCCTTTCACGTCAATGTTTCTCTCTCTTCCTCTCTCTCCTTCCCGCTCTATCTGAGTAAAAAATGGAAAAATGTCCTCGGGTGAGGATAAAAAAAAAAAAAAAAAAGGAAAAATGTCCTCGGGTGAGGATAAAAAAAACAAAACAGAATATTAATATAGAAGCTCAGTGCATGGTGGTTCATTTTTTTCTCCTCCATAGCATTTATCCACACTAGATTTGCGGGACAGGTCTCCCCCTCCCCCCATGTTTTTCTTTGCATAGACTTGCAGTCTGGTTGCCAAGGGAAAGGGGACTGTACCTGTAGTTTCTTGAGACTGCGTTCTGGGAGTTGCCTCTCTGCTGTTTGAGAAGCAGCCTCCGCTCTTTATCTCCCAGCATCGCATTCTGTACGGTGGACGTGCACCTGCCTCAGCAGCTTGGAATGTGGTGGCTTCAGGGCCGAAGCAGGAATCTGGCTTTGCATGTCTGGGACAAGCTGATCAGAGCTGATTGTCACTAGGGTAGCGTATGTAGCCTGTTTATCTTCCTGAGTTGCCCCCATCATGGAGGCTGAGAAAGGAGTGAGCTGCAATAACGTCCTGAGCAAAACCTTCACATGTGGTATTTTAGTGTTACGATTTTTTAAAATTGATTTTAGCCCTGGCTGGTTTGGCTCAGTGGTTAGAGCGGACCAGAGAGGCCCGCGTTCGGTTCCCACTAGGGACACGTACCTCGGTTGCAATTTGTCCCCGGCCCCAGTTGGGGTCGTTGGGGTGGCAGCCAGTCAATGTGTCTCTCTCCCATCGATGTTTCTCTCTCTCCCTCCCTCTCTATCTGAAGATAAATGTAAAAAAAAAAATAGTCCTTGGATGAGGATAAAAAAAAATAAAGTAAAAATTGATTTGAGAGAGAGGAAATAGGGGAGAGAGAGAGAGAGACATTGATTTGTTGTTACGCTTATTTATGCATGCACTGGTCATTTCTCGTATGTGCCCTAACTAGGGATGGAACCCACAGCCTTGGCATATGGGGACAACACTACTCATCCCCGGCACTATTTTTGTGTTATGTATACAAATTGTATATCAGATTGGTAACTGAAGTAGAGGGGCTGCCTCTTTGCTGATTTGATCCTCAAAATGAGGGCTGCTTGGACAATTAGATTAGCCAGGAACCTTTCCACTCAAAGTAAACAATCTGATTCAGTCTGGGTTTAGCCAAATGGGACTTCATTGGCCCAGAGACTTAAAAATCCACAGAAGGCCAAGCTTTAGATGTGCTTGGAGCCGGGTCACGGGAGTCCACTCCCTCTCTGACTGGGACCCAGCTTTCGTCCGTGGTGGCTGCACAGCAGCGTGGGGCTGGGCTCAGGGAGAGATGAGGTGCTGCGAGCACGCGGGCACCACTGCGACGAGAGTCTTGGACCTCTGAGTCAGTGCCGGCCTGCAGAAGCCCACAGACCCTCATAGACATTTCAGCGCCTTCATTAGCGGTAACGAAGTAAAAACTGAGCTGGAAAAGGAGTGTAAATATCTGAAGTGCTGTATGTAGGGACTGTTAAGTCACCTGGGTTAATTCTTTTAATGACACTTAAGGGTCCCTGCCATGTTCTCAACACAGTTTGTGGGTATTCTCTAATAACGTTCTGTGGAGACCAACACCACTGTCCCGAAAATGACAGTCAGTGTGTTACAAGAAGTTTTGTTTAATTTTTTTTTTTTATCCTCACCAGAGGATATTTTTCCATTTATCTTCAGACAGATTGGGAGGGAAGGAGGAGGGGAGAGAGAGGTGGGAGAGAGAAAGAGAGAGAGAGAGAGAGAGAGAAACATGGAAGCAAGAGAGACACATCGATCGGCCACCTCCCACACGACCTCGACCAGGGCCGGGGACAAACCACCGCCGAGGTACGTGACCCTGACTGGAATCGAACCCGCAGCTCATTGGACCGTGGGCTGACGCCGTAACCGCTGAGTCAAATGGGCCAGGGAGTGTTTAATTTTCACCAAGTCAAAACATAACCGGTAATTACAGGGCCCTGTCGGGCTTGGCACCTCAGTGTGGTTCACAGCAGCAGTTCATGCTCTTCCCGGAAGAGGTGCCTCCGAACCTTCAGCACGTGTCTCTCGCTTCACAGAAAAACGGCCCTGCCCCGGTTTTATCCGAACTCCCGAAATAAGTGCTCAAGATTAAAAATAAATCAGAGAGTCTAATTTTGGAAAGTGCTCTTGCACACCACGCCTGCCGCTGTGGAGCTGTGTATGACCTCTCACCGGGTCGTAGAGAGCCTCGCGCCCCGCGTTAGGTGCTGTTGGGGGAGAGCGAGCCCTCATGGCCTCATTTCATCCTCCGCGTCTTCAGAGGGTCTCATCGAAGCCCAGGGAGGTCGGGGGCTTTTCCAAGGACGCAGAGGCAATTCGTACTTCTGTTCCCCGCCCCAGTGC